ATCCATGACTGAAACACTTTTTATTGCAGCAGTTTAACAGAGGATCAGTTTTAACTGTTGATGTTGCTTTGATGCTTCAGAGCTGCTCTGTTTGCAGAAATCACTGAATAACTAATAATCATAAATAAATATCTGATAGCTGTTATTCATTAAAAGCTGTTCAGATGTGAGAGAATTTCACGCAGAAGTATTGCACCGTGGATCAAGTTCCTTGTATACAAGAGTCGATTTTCAGTTTCTTCCCCGAGCAGCACTCCTCAGTCTCGCTTCCACGCTCGCAGCCTTAAAGTTTCTGTTGAGCTGAGTGGGCGGAAGGTAAAACACAACTTTATTTTAAATTTGAAGAGAAGTGGAAAAGTTTCCTCCGAGCTTATGCTGTCCCTTTAACTAAACTAAACAGGCATTAGTTCTGTAACATGCATGTTCAAAGTTTGCATTTCATTAGCCGAGAACTCCGGGATGATTCCGAGGATCCACTTCGGGCTCTGGATGTGCACATCCTTCAGCTCCCTTACATTATGAATGTTCTCAGTTACGGTGAATAGATATTACTCATGGCTGCACACCTGCAAACCGCCACCTCGCTCCAACATCCTGCATGTCAAATCCAGGAAAGTTGCAGGTCCCGGCTTCAGGAACGCTGAAGCTGACAGGATGTGTCAGAACTGAGTAAAAGAAATGCATGTTTAATGTATGCATGTATATTTTAAGTCAGTGTGCCATTTTCTGACAAAAGTAGCAGAACAGCCTGCAGAAGGCTGAAATAGTTTAATTACATCATGACTTGTTTTGGTTATTTGTACGTTTGTGTGCAATTACAGTTTATTTGGTCATTCGTGGCCTAAAATAGTGTTAAGATGTGTTTCTTATTGCAATATTTCCCTTTTTAAATGCTAAATAAAGCAGCAGCAGGGATTCAGGAGCAGCATTTGCTGGTCAGTAGGTGTGCTCTGTGTCTGGTGCATGAACGAGTCTGACAAGCTCCCAAGTGGTCGCTCACGTATTCTTTGGCTGCAGCTTGGGATGCACGGAAAATGTCAGCAAGCGTTTAGGAGCTCATTTCTGCAGCAGCCGAGTCGAGTCATGTTGGGTTGTCGTCTCAGCAGCATCAAATGGATCCACGTGTGTGTGTGTGTGTGTGTGTGCGCGTGTGTGTGTGCGTGCGTGCGTGCGTGCTTCCTTTTCTTTTTAAAACATTTCAGAGGAATTCTGTTGGATACAAACAAGGCAGCATGGGTCTCAGCTTTCACTTTATGGTCCTTCTTTAAAATCCCTCGTCTGGTTTCGAGGACATTGTTTGGGTAATTATTGTTGCTGGAGTATTTCTCCACTGCCAGGGCTTCTGCAGAGCCAGAATCATCTTGTCAGAGGTATTGCAGGGTTTTATGATGCCACCCAGAGCTGGAGGATATGGCAGAAAAATACATCTGTGCCGTGAAGTGGTGCTATAAAGGTCCAGCTGAACTGAGTTGCAATAACAGAATTTTCCTGTTTTTCTTTCAAGCTTAAAATATGAATATTTCAACCATTCTGTGTTGTTTTGCTAGTGAAAGTTGTCAGTATTTATTATTTTACCACTTTATGTAATCCAGGACTGATAAGCTAACCACTAGAACAAACAGGTAAGACCAGATTGCCGTGCCGCCATCTTGAAACGGTTTTAGAACATTATTCTGTACAGCTTTGGGGTCCGATCGGGCGTGACGTTTAGAGTGAGAGGAGCTGAAGAGTTTGATGTGTGCATGTTATGTAAAAGTCGTGTAGATGCAATAATAAAAACCAAGATGGATTTTTTCCAATATTACATTTCACTACCAATATCAGCCGATAATATCAGGCATCCTTGCTTTTAACCATCCATCAGTCATCGTTGCACCATTATGTGCAATTTTATGATCATTTCTAAGCACGGATGCCACCTGCTGCATGAAGAAGTCGAACTTCCGATGCATCCAGGAATCACATCTGGCAGGAATGTCCAAATTCTTTTAAAATCCCCATGTGATGCAGATCTGACGCGCTATAAATATTATAGGGTAACGTTTGCTCTGGCTTCTATGGAGTACGGACACCGGAGTGGCTTTAAGATGGTAGATTATCAGTGCTTTTGATCATAAACTCAAGGTAATTTGCAGAATATTCCTTTAAAGTCTCGAGCCGGAGCGGTTTCATTTCAGCTCCACAGTTCCAGCGTTGTCTGACTTGTTTTGCATCATTCCTTATGAGACGAGTCCCACGTGTCACTCGAGGACTCGTGCGGCAGCAGAGGGGGTGCCATCAGCATTCATCATTTGCATTTGAAATGATTATTTTATCCAGGAAATAGAGGAAATGAGGGTTGAGCCAGCGGCTTTTGAAATGATGCACACGGCTAAAAATAGCAGCGTTGCATGTCATTCACATGTACCATCCAGTGCCCACGCTGGTGTCGTGACGACTTATTGACTCGTGTTACACAAAGTGCAACCCAGTCACTTGGGAGGAAGAGGCGTGCAAGCCC